TCTTTAATATTGTAGTAAAAAATAAAAAGACAATATAAATTCAAGATAACGACACAAGTGTGTGATGAGAATCACCCCTTGATCACACACAGTTTACAAGGTTGCTAAGGTAGTGTGAAGGCACAACAAAAAGACCAGAATGAAAGCTGGCCTTGAATGTGATGAAGAGTGCTTTTCTGGAAGGCGGTGAGCATGTTGTATGTGGTGCCAAGTACACAGTGAGCAGTCAATGATGACAATAACCTTTCTAAGCTGGCGAGACAGGGACAACTCTAGCACTCATTGAAGTTAGGCAATTCTCAATGTCACTCTGAAAATTTTTCATCTCCCTTTGAAAAAATATATTTATACAGCAGTAAAACACACATCAGAATTCCACACTAATTACCATGAAGTATGTCAACACACCCACTAAAACACAGCAATTTAATCTAGATTCTACTGAGATATAGGCATGCAAAGAAACTTGACATCAGGTCATAAAAATAGAAATCAGATGGCTGCTCAGCACACAAACACTCAGTGTTACTATGCTCAGCTTAAATATACTTTCCCATGAAGAGTAGCAAAAAACAAACACTTAGTTAATTATAAACACATAAATAATAAAATGGTCTTAAAATTCAGTTATATTGGGACATAAAAAAGTTGATTTAATGAATAAAATTAGTCTTTGCCAGATATTATACAAAAACTTGGTGCCACTTAAGAGAAAGGCTAAATATAAGGTATTTAGTGTTAAGAACATCAACTGCTCATGTTACAAGTGACAAATGGATAAAAACCGGGTTGTTTTGAACACGGGACTATAAAGATTGTGCACTTAAGAGTCAGAAGCCCTGAAAACTCATTATGATTCATCTACAAAGCAGAAGAACGATCCACAGAAAACTCTCAAGGCATGTTCCAGCCACATTTTGCTGAATAACAAACACTAGATTTTAAAACAAATTCAAGGAAGAGGGGGGCAGGACAGTGTTCCAGAGAACATTTTCCCAGCTCTACTCCAGTTAATACAGCAATTCATAAAGCAAGAAGAACTGTAGTAAAAACACTTAAAATAACTAGCTTATTTCTCTAATCCTATCTGGGGAATGCCAGGCTTGAGAAGTGAGCAGTGCAGTTCAGCGCTGATGTTTAAAAAATCTGTTCCTTTCTTCTAATGGTGACACTTCTGACTGCACTCACAATCCTCCGCATTTTCTTCCTTTTTACATATACTTCTTAGTCTCCCACTCCAGCCCAGAAGGTAACGTTCCTACCCTCTGCTTGTGGGGTCTGAACTTCTGTTACCTGCTCTGCCCCTCTATGCACCTTATGGTTTCTCCTGTCAACACGAAGCTCAGAGAGCTCACTGTAGCTCCGCTGACTAAATCTAGCCCAAAATGAACTATTTCTTCTCCTTTCTTAAGCAATTGGGTAGGGCCCTGAACAACATTCCACTTCTCCTGCCCACACCCTAATGCTGCTGAGGGAGTGCTGGGTGTGGTAGACACTCTGGCCCATCACCAGCAAAAGCTGCCTGAGCTCTGCCTGGGGCTCTACCTCAGTTTCCTTCCCAAGCAGCTTGATAGGCAAATGCCTCATGAGCTTCATGGAACAGTACTAACACTAAGAATTCACTAAATGACAAAATTCTTCTGGGCTAACTACTGCACATATTGCAATAAAACATGCCCGTTATTACTCGAAAGGGCCCCTCTCCTCTATTAACAATAATAAAATCATCTTTGTGTAAGTTTCATATAAAAATAAATGTGGTGTATAAAAAAGGTAACTGTTTTCTTTCAAGACTCATATATGGATCACTAAAAATATTTTGTCAGAGATTTTTCCCTTCCTACAACACAATACTTTTCTTGGCAATCATCTCATCTTTCAGGACTATTACATCTGTGTAGTCTCCCCCCAATAACAGATAAGCATTTTCTCTATTGTCTACCCTCAGCCCTTGATCTGATTTTCTGGGTATTTTTCTTTCTCAATGATCTTACTCATGGACTAGTCCCAGAACACGCACAGAAAGTTACCCTCTCACACCACGTGCCCTCACTACACCAAAAGCCCAATGTCCCAGAAAATTGGGATTTTTCTGCTTAAGAGATACCAAATCCCAAGAAGCAATAAAAGGTTTAACTTTATGCAAGACTATGGCTCATCTACAGGCAACTGCACACACAAAACGAGTAAAAGACATAAGCATCAGTGAAAATTTTAAGCCATTCCTCAAACTTAAGATAGCTTTTGTTCATAACTTTTCACGAGACTAGAATTTTAAACCACACACATATCACATTTCCTACTAGTTAAATAGAACCTAACTCGTATGAAAGAATAAAATATCTCAGTATGCCACGGAGTTGTACAACCACCGCCAAGACCAACGGGGAAATCGGTAGTATCTGGGTGACAACTTCTGACCTCCACTCATAGAGACGCATGCAACAGGGACCCAGAGTAGCCAAAGTGCCTGTGAACCCCATTCTGTCTACTCAGCACTTAAATTATTCCCTCCTGTCTCAAAAAAATTTACAAAAATAAAAACAATGCTAGTTTTCAGCCAGCCTGAACGAGGAAGAGTATGTGTGATTCCTTCTTTATTTTTAACCATGCTATTTCTGCCTAGCCTCTTTGGTCAAATTTCTGAACCACTTAAAACAAGACTGAGTCCCTTTATGTGCAGCAAACCCACAAAAAGACCCAGAGCTCTTGTTGTCTAGCCCCAGAAAATGGTGTTAACATGCTCCTCAGTGAGGTCTAGAGAGAGGGAAAAAATAGATCTTATACCATCATCTAAATTTTCATGGATTATTTTCCTCCTTTCTCTATTTTCTCTTAAACCCTTTATTTATGTTTCGACTCTCTTCCATCTCTTTTCAGCCCTTCATTTCTGTTCCAAGTTATTTTGGCTCCTTCTCCTCATGATTTTGAGGGCCAGCACAATGCCCTTTCATGACAATAGAAAAGGATGTACAGCAGGGACTAAGGAATCTAGCTCACACCAATAACATCAGCTACTGTTATCAATAGTCAACAAAATCCACAAATATCCAAGAAATTATTCAATAGCTACTATGGTTGAAACACTGTGACAGGAATAATAGGGGAAATAATGTATAAAGCAGTTTGTGCTCTCCAAGAAGTAACAATCTAGTTCAGAGATCATGCAAAAATATGTGGAAAAGGTAATATATAAAGCAGTCAGAAGACTGCAGTATCTAATAATACACGTGGGCTGTAATATTTGGGCACTGAGACCAAAGGTGGGTACAACCACTGTGCTCTAGGGGGTCTCAAAGGGGCTGGCTCAGGGAAAGTACAAGCTGGACTTGAAGGGAGCTCTGAGGGTACCAAAAGGTGAGAAGGGCTTTCCAGGGCCAGAAGGCTTTCCAGGGGGCTGACCACATGTCAGCCTAAGAAGAAGAAAGGATATAAAACAGTAAATTTTACGTTATATGTTTTACCACAATAAAAAAAAAAAGGACGAAAGGCAGCTGTCTCCAATAGGGTAGGAAAGTCAACACAGAGGGCTTGACAAACAGAATTCCTACGCTCAGATGGAAACATCCTGATGAACTTAGTCAACTGGATACTTTGTCCAATGCAAAGCCACATACTTGACAATTCCTTTTCTAATTTTAAATACCAACACTGCACAGAACCTCACAATGTTATTAAAGCAAAAGAAACTAATTGCCAAGATAGGGAGAGGTGTGCATGGTGAAGGAGGAAGAGACAATGCCTCTTTTCTACTGGGGAAATGTCCCCTGGAAACAGAGGTCCCAGCAGCTTTGCTATGGTGCAGAAATCCCAAACCCAGAGGTTCCAAAGGGGCTCCATTCTTCAGAGTTTTCTGCTGAGTACAAGAGGAAATCTGCAATCACTTCTACAAGTGAGTCACAAAAAAGCTCTAGCTTTCAGCTTCTAGCTGATTGCTAATAAAGCCCTGAGTATCTAAATCCAAGATCTTAGCCTTTGCTGACCATCTGAAGGAAAAACCTCCGAAACTAGTAAAGCAACAGTTACAGAAATAATACGTGGCACACCTTAGTTATTTCCCTTTAATCACCAACAAGAAAATTATTTGGTTGAAATCATGCCCACGTGCTCCCGATCTTCAATTTGGGCAGACAACAAAATCCGCATAATAGTTCCAAAAGGAAGGTCAGTGAAAACAGTAAAGAGAAATGTCCCCATTTTCACATAATGACCAACATTAGAGGAGAAACATGCTGGGAAATTGTCCAAATGACCATAAAAATACTCAGAGTACACAGTGTTCTATATGAGTATACTATGTACTAGTGCAGTATTGCATACTACAAAATGTACACAGGACAATAACTGGCCTGAGGTGCAAGACATTGAAAAGTATGCTAGTTCAAGTGTTAAATATAAGATTCTTGCTGGAATAACCAACTTTGTTAATTCTTTAAAATTTCCACATTAACATCTCCGACTCAGTGAAATACAAACTAAGAACTTCATTCTTACAGGTATCATTAAAATCTCTTTCGACATTAGTCATCGGTATATGAAATAAATGAGCTCATTAGCCCAGAGGCACTGATTATTATACGGGGCAAACCAGGGATCTGCGTACTTCTCAAGACATTTATCAGTCACTCACACAAGGGTGTGTAGAAAATGGTGATTCTAACACTTATTTCTTACCTAATAAAGTTTCATAAGTCTCGTTTTCCGAAACAAGTGGTAATCTATGCAATTCTGCTTCTACATCGTTCTGGGACTATCTTTCCTGAATCTACCCTAACCCGCCTTTCTAACTCTTAGCAGTCCGGGAATCTGAGGGCCTTAGATATGCATATGTTGGAAAACAAAGTAAATGCATCAGATGTGTCCAAATGATGCAATGTACACTTAAGCTTGGTTTCAAGCTATAGGGCCATTCAGTCCGTCTGAAGGAAACATTAGTTAGCAACAGTTCATATTCAGATTTAACTGGGGGGATTTCACTTGGAACTGACAACAGTGCTCACCTTTAGGACAGAGGCTAAGTTGGTCATGTGCTCATTGAGGGCACCCTCGGACTCCTTGTAGGTCAAGCAGGTGAACTGGTACTCCTCAGGATCAAAGGCATCAGCCCCCTGCTGCTCCACATCGCTGGATACTCCCACGTAATAGTCTTCTATGTCCCCAGGGTCCTCATCCTCTTCTTCCTCCTCACAATTTGGGTCATAGTCCTCTTCATTGCTGTCAGACCCCTGGCTATTCATGTCCACAGACATCTTAACATCCAGCCAAGTTGCAGATCAAGAAAGCAGGTTTTTTGGCCCTCCCCCCAAACTTTACCACTTTCTCAAATGCATTAGTGTTTTTGTATTCTAAGGGAGAAAAAGGAAAAAATAAGTGTTACCTTTCTTGTGAGAAGTTGGAACAGAAACCATTCAAAAATCAAAATGGCATAGCCCTGGCCCTACCCCCACTATGGCCTATTTCCCTACTTTGGTCTCATACAGGTAACCTCACCATCGTCTCCCTGCCCAAGATTATTAAAGAGAAACCCCTTCCTGGAGGGGCAGAAGTGGCTGACAACAGAAACTTCATACGAAGGGTCTGGCATGAAAGAATAAAGCTGTCTGCTCTATGTCAATGAGTCATTCCCATGGACTTGTCTTTCCTGCCAGAGTCTTTAAGAGAGAAGCACATCCCCACAGTTGACTGCCTACAAGATGAGCCACCTAAAGGTTGAACTACCGAAATTTAAAATTCAAAATCTCTTTGCTAATCATGCCCCGCGTAGTGATGACACATATGGTACATGACAGTTCCTTCCCACTATAATATCTAGGAAAAGAATATCACTGTTTCACAGACATGGCTCTCAGATATCTGGAAAGCAGGTGCACGGTTAGTAAAGAAAAAATTAAAAGCCACACTGTTCTTCAATATCCTTCTCCAGCATGCAAAGTTAACTGATTTCTCAGTGTTAAAGGATTCTACTGATCCTTTACAAAAGGGATACTCAGAGGAAAAGAAACTGACTAATATTGAAGGAAAACCATAAAAATTCTTGTCTTAGCAGAATCGAGGCTAGGTAAAACCAGACTCTAGGGTGAACAAACAAGAGTTCAAATGGAAACAGCTATTGAAAAATCCTCACAGATCAAAATGTTACTCAATTACATATAAATGAACAGAGAACACTAGTTGAGAAAGCAAACAATCGCCAAGTACTAAATGCATCTCAATGAATAGTACCAAACAGTGACTGAAATGTGAAAACTAATAGAACCTTAAAATGCAAGAGCATTTGGATTGAATGGTATGTAAATAATTTACATAACCATATCCAGATGAAATACAAATGTAAATGTAAAGTTTATTTGAAGTAGATAATCTCTTAAAAAAGTCAACCATAATTAAAATGCAGATTAAAAATAAATATATACTGACTATAAGCAGTCTAAAGGAAGACAGAACCACCTTTTAATGATATCACAAAAAAAGCAGTGAATCTAAGTTTTATGTTAATTATAATTGCCCATTTTTTAAAATCACATTGAGAAGGCAATATATATATAATAGTATTTCAAATTTGATTTTTAACAAATTGTATTACATGGTATAACCACCTAATCACAACTGAATTTAACTACGGTATTTTTCCCTTAGGAGAAAAAATTAGTTTTGAAATTAAAAATACCTGTAATTCTTGAAGATCTTGCAGGAAGATGTCACCCAAATATTCTATGTCATATAATTTCCATCTAAAATGAAAAGAGAATTCTGATATTTTTAAATTGGTACTCTTACAAATTTATTTTTTAAAAAGCAAAGACATTTAAGAGGACAAGCAGCAAGGGACCAGAGTAACTGTGGAATTACAGTTGACCCTTGAAGAACATGGGTTTGAACTGCACAGATCCACTTATACACAGATTTTTTTCAATACTGTATTTTCTCTTTCTCATAATTTTCTTAATAGCATTTTTCTCTCGCTTACTTTATTATAGTAAAATAGTATATAATACACAACATACAAAATATGTTATTTGTTTATGTTATCAGTAAGGCTTCTGGTCAACGGTAGGCTATTAGTTGAGTTTTTGGGGGAGTCAAAAGGTATACACATATTTTAGACTGTGCAGGGGGTCCACATCCCTAACTCCTGCATTATTCAAGAGAAGTCTGCATGTCATAATTATATTGACAAGTTACATGATCTTCTGAATAAAAGTATTCAAAGTAAACAGCTGACAATAATTTTAACCAGGGTACTACTGGTAATGGAAATGGATACCCAACTTCCTCCATCAGTTTAAAAGTCCATCGCCTTACTCTTTTCTTTCAGAGTCCCTAAATTAACTATCACAATTTCAATCCTAAATGTTACATACAAAGTAAATTGTAACTGACTTAAAACTGAACTTTTACTATAAAGTCACTTCCACTGCGGTAATCTAACACTTACAAAATACTGTCAATATTTCAGGTCTCACTTTACTTGTGAAAAAAAGTGGTTTCAAATAAAAAAATGTCCCATACGAGATGCCACCAGGCAGTATTAACACTCATTTCCTACCTCTCTTCTGACATGCTAAAAGGCCATCTGACTTTCTCAGAAATACAGACCCCACTATTCCAAACATTTAAATGAGTACTATTTGCTTACTCAATTAGTAACTTCATGTCTATTTCTTTATCCTTTAGAATTACTTAGAAAACCAGATCTTATAACTTCCAAACGTAGACAGGCAAATATAAACCAATGAAAATCAAAGTCCAAACAATGATTGTGAAAGATTATTTCCAAAACGGTAGAGGAAAATTTGTTTTTTTTAAAACCTTTTTGCTTTTGCCTGTTTTTATGTAAGATACAGCTTACTGGGCAAATAGAATCTATGAATATTGTTCCCATTTACGAAATACTACTACCCATAATAGCTCTCATGTAATGAGAGCCAATTTCAGGTCTCATTAAATCTTCACAACCATACAAAGTGGCAATCACCCCCTTCTTACATATAAGGAAACTAGAGTTCGAAAAGCTTAAGTAGCTTGCCCAGGACCTCGATGTTGGCAGATGCTGAAGAGCTCAGCATTATACTTCCACCAGATTCATGGCCTATGTTGATTCGCAATTCCCCATCACCCTCCCAGAGCAAAGCTAACTCCAGAATCACAACAGAAGAGCATGCTTCCATTTTTTTCTGGATTTCTCCCCGGGGATTTGGGCTTAGAGGCTGCCCAGGGTTCTCACCAACTAAATCGTCAAGAACCAAGGAAGAACTTCAAGCTCCCCTCCTAAAGGGGAACCTGAAAAAAGAACAACATTTCGTACTTACTAGGTGTTCTAGGTTCATATTTAACATTTAATTTTTAATCTTTCCAAAGTTAATGATCCCTATTCTTCTTGAAAGAGTGCTGACATTCAAAAGGGCCAGTATGTTATCTAATTAACGGAACTGGTGACAATGTTTTGATTTCCTTAGATGTTAAATATTGTCCTTATGTCGCAGAAAAGGAGTAAAAGAAATTACTTTTTCCTAGAGCCAAAGTCACATGTTCAAAAAGACCTGAGACCCACCCTGAATTAAAGAATCCAAATGGAAGACGTCTCAACTTAAAGTTGACAAGAACGAAACACACTTTTTGGTGAATCTGCCCATGTTTACTCCAGTTATAATATTTAGCACTGAATGGTCTTTTACTGAGTCAACATCTCTGAAGAAAACTACTTGACAAAAAACTATGAACCAGAAACTTAGTTTCAAAACATTACACTACGTCTGTACTGCCAAATACAGTAGCCGCTAACTACATGTGGTTATTTAATTTAAAAATTAAGTTGAAAATTTGGTTTTTCAGTCGCACTAGCTACAAGTCAAATGCTCAATGGCCACGTGTGGCTTGTGGCTACCTTACTCAACAGCAACTGTATAGAATATGTCCATTGTGACAAAGTTCCATGGGACACAGCAACAATCGGTACTGAGATGAAGTCATCCGAGAACACGGCTGCCTCTCCCGTGGCTAGCACAGAGGCGTCCGGCAAGGCGGCGACGCAGCTCCTGGGACGCCTGTCCCTTCCGAAGCACTGAGCTATCCGCGAGGACACAGAGCCCACGCGCTGGGGGTCCCTTCATATGCGGGCGTTAACTAACCGCGCGGGTGGCACTGCAAGAGCTCAAAATGATGACCTAAGTGGCTAGCCCCGGAGGTGGCGCGTTTCCCCGGCGCGCCGGGTGGGGAGGGCCCATATACACCGGCGTCAGTCGGTCAGAGGCGCTGGCCTCCGACCTCTCCGCGAGCTGAAGGGGAAGGAAGAGGAAAAACGGGGACACCAAGCGCCCCGTCCGCCACGGCCGTAGTCTTCGGCTGCCGGTCCGCGGCCGGCCGGGGGCGCTGGGACCGTGTACGGGCGGCCTGGGGAGCCGGGGCCTCGCGGACCGCGACGAAGGCGGAGCCCGGACCCGGCTAGGGAGGCGCGCGGAGAGCCCACCTCCCTCCCCCGACCTGCCGGGTAAACAAGGCCGCGACCCGCACTTCTCACCTACCGGGAGCCGCGGCCTCGCGGCCGCTGAGCCCGGGCGGGCCAGACCGGGTCGGTCTGAGCCAGAGGGATCGGACCCAGGCGCGGCGGCGGCGGAAACGGCAGGCCGACGCCGGTCAAGGCCCGCGCTGCTTCCTCCGGCGGAGCCGTCTCCGCCGCTCCGGAAGCGCTCAGCGCGGTTACGTCACTTCCGGCCCGGGGTCGACCCGCGGTCGCAGGGGTCGCGGCCGACGCTAGGTAATAGTGCCCTTGGGTCGGCGCTTGTGTGTACCCCAGCGCTCGGTCCCAAAATCTGACCAGGGCACGGCCAGCGCTGAGGGTTGCAGGAAGCAGCGGAAGAGAGGGCTCGGCTTACTGGATCGTGGTCATGGCATCGTTTCCGGCTTTCGCCTACCAACGCCGCCCGCCGCGATATTTCTAAGCAGGGTTTTTCTGATAGACTCCGCATTTCACTGTTTGTATTCTGGTGTCGGACATGGGGAAGACATCCTGACGTCCGTGGAGTGGATAAAGGACGGTTGCTAGACGAAGGAGAGCACGGCCTTTGGGTCGGCGCGCGGGGCCTGAATTCCGCCTATGCCCTGAGGCTATCTCCTGGTGGCCCCAGACTCGCAGGACCTCGCCAGGCTTTCATTTCCCTCTCCGCCCGACTCACCGCCCACTTCTTCGGCTTCCCATCACCATACAAGGCTGAATCTTAACTGCCTTGCTGCCCAGTTTTTTCAAACAGTATAGGAAGTGTCAATCATGACTTCTAGTATACCTTCTGTGTCCTGTCGTTAGGCGTTATGGATAGGTTAGAGCCATGGAGGGTCACTGAAGTTGCTGCTACACAAATAGAAACGCCAGTGTGAAGCCGCTGATGCTAGGGAGCGTCTTGGGCCGTGCAAGTACGTAGATAACCCAAAAGATTTCCATCCATACCCGAGTCGAGTCGTGTATGCACTGATATTCGAGTTCTACGTGTAACGGGCTCTCTTATTTAGTGCTTGCTGCTTGTATGTACGCGTATATTTCTTATCCATGAGTTGAAACTCACTTCCAGTTTAACTCAGAACATGTGTCTAAATCAGATACAATTAAATACTAAAAAACTCCAAATTAATTTGGAGTGAAAATGAATAGTGATGAGTAAGATACTGTAGGGTTATGAATTTTGTATATTAGCAACATAAAAGTCTACTATAATCCAGTGTGCCTTAATAACATTTGTTTTGAGAAAACATATCCCTTTAAATTATGATACTAGCAATGAACCCAAATTATATTTTCTGCATTTGAAATGTCACTTAGAAGCTCTTACTCTGGGTTACTGGTAATAAATTATCTCTAGTGAACAAAAGGGAAAACAGTCTTTCTGTGGAGTTATTGTGTTTAGGTGTCAAGCACAAAGCTGCACGTACAATATATTGGAATCCTATGTATTATCCTTATTTGTCGACTTGTCTTTCCCCTGATGGTGAGTTTTTTAAGAGCACTGATCCAACCTTATTTTCAATATTACTCCATTAAATAAACATTTATTGGGCTGACGATAACATTTTTAAATAGTAGCAGTCTCTCCCCAGGAAATAAAGATTTAAAAATTAAGCCGAAACATTTAAGGATATGCATAAAAATTTGTGCACATACGTGTGTTTTGGAATGGTGTTTCTAATAGTAAAAAGTTTGTAGCATCTCAAGTGTCCAAAAGTGAGGATTTGTTAAATTATGGTAAAATATACAATAAAGAAGGCCATAATAATGATGCTATACAAAGGCAGCTATTGACAAGGAAAGGTATTTGTGATATACTCTTAAGTGATAAGAATAAGATGTGAAAATGTGTGTGATATTCTATTTTCAAAACATATATGCATGTAAAAAATATAAAGTCATGGTTTCTGTGGGACAGGAATCTGGACAGGCCGCAGTGGGAATGGTTTATCTCAGATTCTCAATGTCTCGGCCTCAGCTAGAAGATTCAAAGGCTGGGAGCTAGAATTATAGGAAGAATTATTTACTCATACGTCTGATGGTTGATGGTGTCTGTTAGCTGGAGGCCTTGCTGGGGCTGTCAGCCAGAACACACACACACACATGACCTCTCTATGTGACCTGTTTTTCCTGGAAACGTGGTGGCTGGGTTCCAAGAACAAGTGTCTTAAGAGAGAGCCAGGTGGAAGCTGTATCTCCTATTATGGCTTAACCTTGGAAGTCACACAGCATTATTTTTACCACATCTTATTGGTCCAAGCAGTTACAAAGGTCCTCTCAAGTTCAAGGAGAGGAAATGAAACCCCACCCTTGATGGAAGAATACCAATATGATATCACATTGTAAGAAAAGCATATGGTATGGGATATATGTGCGGCCGTCTTTGGAAAATATAGCATGTATCTTACACATATGTCCTTCATCTTTGCTTTTATTGATTTTAATTAGAAGACTAGTACATTCATACATTAAAGTTGTAAAAAATTAATACAAAAATGTTGATGGCAATATTCCCATTAACTCCAACTCAACCCTATTCAGGATTACTGCCATTCTCCAGAGTTTGGTGCCTGTCTTTCCAGGACCCTTTCTATGCATCTACATACATATCTATATTTATAACTATACACATACTTACATAAACTTTAAAAAATTAACAGGCTATTATAAATATTCTGTTTCTTTTTTAACTTAGAAGGTGCTATCATTATCCCCATTTCACAAATGAGCAAACTCAGATACAGAAAGGTGTGGTAATTGCTCAAAGTCATAAAGTTAGGAAGTGGCCAAGCTGAGATTGTAGCCCTGGCCATCTGGCTCCAGAGTTGGACCCCTTCTCAACATTTCCTAGTATGATCGTACTGTCATCTGACCATGCTCCTTTTGCAAGTCATCTTTTTCTAATTTTCACTCAGGTAAAATTACTGATAGTGCTGCTGTGAACACCCTGAGATGTACTACTTTTTGCCTAGATGTGAAAATGGTCTGGGTTATATTCCTAGAAATGGAATTGGTGAGTCAACTTCTACGTTCATTTTACATCATTATAGATACAGCCAAATCACCTTCGAAAACTGCCTTTGGTTCTTTGAGTCCAGGTAAAGGCCAGGCATCATGTTGTTAGATATGATGGCAAGGAAAGGCAACCACAGCTCCTGCAATCAAAGAGATTTGGTCTATTAGGGGATGCATAAATTTGAGGAATAATTAAATAAGAGTGAAATTGCTGTGAGGAGTACTGCACAGGAGTCAGTGGGCTCCATCTTCAGCCTCTGCTCCATCTACACTCATTTCCTAGTGATCTTATCCAATCTCTGCCTGCGTATCTCCAACACACTAATGACTTCCAGGTTTCTATTTCTAGCCCTACCCAATTTCCTGAACTCCACACTCGATATATTCAATTATCCATTTAATACCTCTACTTGGATGTCATATTGGCATTCAGATTTAACATGTCCCAAACAAAACTCAATTTTATCTCCAAACTTGCCATTCCCCCCAATGTTTCCCAGCTCAGTAATGTCACACTCTCTCACCATTTACTCAGGTCAAAAATTCACAAGTCTCTCATAAGTCTTCTTTCCTTTTCATATTTCACATTCAATCCATAAGCAATATCTATGTGCCATACCTCCACAGTATGTCCTGATTTGGCACTTCTCACCACCTGTGCTCTAGTGCAAGCCACCATCATGTGTCCCTGAATCTGAGTGGGTCCCTTAACTCGGTAGTCTCTATGCTTCTACCCTTGCTCCATTACATTTGTTCTCAACATTGTTTAGGAAGATCTTTTTAAAGCATAAAATGTCATTTCCCTGTTCAAAACCCTCCAAAGCTTTCTCTCAAAGGCTTTGGCCTTAAGAGGCTTACAGAGGATAGAGGCTAGAGCCAAATACTCAGGGTTAGAATTCCAGTTTGGCAACTTCCTAGCTATGTGACCTTGCTCAAGGAAACTTACTTCTTTATGACTTAATTCTCATTTGTGAAATGGGGATAATAGCACCTTCCATTGAGTGAAAAAGCAGAATTATAGTTATGATAGCTTTTTATTAATTAAAAAAAAGGTTTGTGTAAATGTATGTGTTTGTGTGTGTACTTGTTAGATATAAATGTGTGTGTAGATGCATAGAAAGGGTCCTGGAAGGACAGGTACAAAATGCTAATATTTTACATTCTTGTTTTTTATATTCTTGTTTTTTAGGTTGTGCTCTTTAATCCATTCGACCTCTGCTTTGGGGGCTCCTACTTTCGTGCTGGCCCCTCTCTCGTGCTGCAGTCTTCCAGGGGTTACATATACATCTATTTGCTGAAGCCTTACTGGCTTCTGTCTCTGGTCTTTACCTCTCTCCTAGTTCCCAAGCTATATACCTGACACTAACCAGTTATGTCCCCAGATGTGCCATGGGCACTGGAAGTGCAGTGTGTCTGAAAACCAGAGCTGCTGCAGGTTTTTCTGGAAATGCCTCTGGGGTTCTAGCTCCTTTTCCATCCTTCTATGACCCCCTCCCCAGTTCACGCCTTCACTGACTCTTGCCTGAACCGTTGTAATTCTCTCTTAACTGGTCTCTCTGCTTTCAGTCCCTCCCAAAACAAATTCACTCATCCAACATAGATTTTCTAAAACAAATCTGATCAGGTCACCATAGTTCTTAAAAAATTCTTCCATCATTCCCTATCATCTCCTAGAAAAAGCTTATAATACAGAGTAGATAGGCTTTTGGACTTTGCCCCAGCCTCTTTGCCCTCCACTCCCCTACAAGCCCTCTGGACCAGTCAGGCCCAGTCACTTCCTGATCCCAATCCTGATCCTGTTACTCGTCTTCCCACCCCAAGCATATATGGGGGCCATCTTCCCCATTCCAGGCTTCCCTCTAGCCTGGGAGCACCTACAGAAGACTTATCAGGTCACCTTGGCAATGAGGTATCTGCGACAGAGTAGGGGTATGTCTATTATTCACAGCTTTTTGATTTAAAAAATTTCAAACATACAGAAATGATGTAAGAGTGATATAATGAATACCTGGATACTGTGCACCTAGGGTCACCAAGACAAAAACATTAGCATCATCCTTAACTTCTCTCTTGCATACCTTTTATTTTATTCATTAACAATTCCTTTAGGTTCTTGCTTCAGAATATATCCAGAATCCAAATACTCCTCACCGCCTCCTCTGCTATGCCCTGATCCAAGCCAGCATCTATGACCATGACCGTTAGCCTCCTCAAGGCTCCCTGCTTCCTCCTTGATCCCTACTGCCTATTCTCACCCAGCAGAGGGCTCCTGTTAACTCATGAGTCTCTCCCCTGCTCAAAACTCCAGAATGGCTCCCATCTTCTTTGAAGAAGCTAATGTTCTCACAGTTGACAAAGTGTGCTATGTATACTACCATCTCCTACATGTCTGTTGCCTCTCCTGCTCTCCCTCGCTCGGGTCTAGCCACAAAGAAATCCCTGTGGTTTCTCAACAGGCCAGGCATAGACAATCACTTTTGCATTTTCTTGTTCTCTGCCCTTAAGGTTCCTCAACTTCCACCCCGTATCTGTGGGATCAGGACTCATTCTCTCACCTTCTCAGGTCTTGAATGCAAACACCTCAGTAAAACTCTCCCTTACTCACCTAATTAAAATTGCAAATTACTCTGCCCCCTCACTCTCTAATCCTCTTTCTGGGTTTATTTTTCTCACGTGACACACTAGTATTTTTGTCACTTATTTATTTTTGTTATGGTCTGTAAACTCCATAAGGACAGGGACCCATGCGCTGTGCTACCAGCCGTGCTTCTGGCATCTGGAAGGGCGCCTGAGACATAGCAGAGCACAACTGACTTCTGTTGAGTGGAGGAACGGTAGCCCAGAGAAGAGACTTCGGTGAGGAATTAAGCCCAACCGCGGGTACTGCCAAATACCCTCAGACAGCGTCACGGCCCGCCCCACTCCCTCAAGCCACGCCCACGGGGGGCGGGACCGCGGCCGGAAGCAGATTCCCCGCCACACTCTCCGCCGGCGGAAGCCAGGCCGGGCAGTCTAGGCCCTCCTTCCGACTTGCCTCGGGCTCCTGCCCCGCCTCCCTGAATGTGGGTGAAAGGTCGGCAGTGCCGGCACTGCTACTGGGGCAGTGAAGCTAGGCGGCGGGGAACGTACCGACACACTGACGAGCAGACGGACCATGGCAGACGAGGCGAAGCCCATCAGCCCGATCAAGAACCTACTGGCCGGCGGCTTTGGCGGCATGTGCCTGGTGTTCGTGGGGCACCCGCTGGACACCGTCAAGGTGCGAGGAAGGTGGAGGGAGGAGGCCTGGGCGGGGTATGGAAAGCAAGGTCTCCAGCGAGGTGCGGCCGGGGATATAAAGGGGGCCCGTGGGAGCTTCCGTGAGAAGTTTAGAGAATATCCCTTTCGCCCCTTTTGGAGTTCGCGGGAAGCTGTTCCTCTCCTGCAGAGAGCTGGATCTCGCAGAGCAAGCCGACTAACTGCCCATCAAGGGCTCTGATTTAAAGTTCTCTGTCCCGTAGCCTCTCCTGACCTTGCGCCACTTCTTTAGGAATGAGAAAGAAGCGCCTCCCCAAAGTTCTGATTTCAGCAAACCCTAACATTATAAGCAAGATCGAAAGAGGTCACCTGTAAAGCCCATCTCAGGAAGAGAGCTAAAGACAGAGGCACGGTTATTCTAGAGATGTCTTTTGGCGCATTCCTCTGGGACCAGAGTGCCCCATTACCATCTCCTTTTCACCTTTCACTGTCCACGAGGGTCTTGGCCATTTTCAGCCTGTCACCCTGTGTTAGACTGAGTGGCCCCCAGTGCGAAATGATGATGTCCTCAGTGACTCAGCCTCTGCCAAGGAAAGCCAGTGACCTACTTTGCCCAGGACTAGGCCTGTCCTCACAGCTCCCAGGTAAGGAAACTGTGGTCAAACTGAGACAACTGGAAAGAGGAGACTCCTGGGGGCTTGTTCCCTGGGCTTCCTCTCAACGCTTCCCTATGCAGCACTTTCAGCCAGGTTTTGCTGGAGGCTAAAGTCCATTCCCTGTGACTTAGCATTCAAATCTTCATCCCTGTTTTCTAACCTAATTTCTGGACACACGCTTGGAGGAACTTGACAGATCATGGCCAGGATGGGCCTTTGGGGAGCAGACATGTCACAGAGTAGGAAGCCTGTGCAGGGGTCTATTAGAATATAGACTTGGGCACATGGCCTCTCCACGCTGCTTGAGTGTCCTTACGACGTGGTGGTTGCCTTCCCCCAAAACGAATAACCTGAGATGCAGACAGGCAGAAGCTTACCTTTTCATCGCCTTGAGAAAGTCACATAGCATCAATACCACCACATTCTATTCAATCGAAGTGAGTCGTTGAGTCTGACCCACATTCAAGGGAAGGAGGATTAGCATTTACCTTTTGAAGGGGAAGAGTGTCAAAGAATCAGTGGACATAATTGACAATCACCACACGGGGTAAGGATGGGTGAGGATTTGGCCTAGGAGAAAACTCAGACACAGAGAGGAAGAACTTAGGATTCTGGGAGCTTCTTGAAGGACTACTCCAACAGACTGGGTACTCGTGTGACAAAGAAGAACAACAGGAAGAGGTCAGAAGTGATGCTAAGGTTTCAAATCCTGAGAAAGAGAGTGGTTATGTGGCTCTGGCACAAATGGGCCATTGCCCAGGAG